TTCATTAGCAATATTATAGCCACCAAGATCTTCAGGGGTTGAGCAAACACATATAAGCGTGGACATATGTTCAAGAAGCGTCTAAATGAATTGCATTCATTCCCCTACCACACCTTGGGCGCTCCAACTTCAATTAAATTGGAGACGATCGATTCGGCAGGCATTGCGCTCCCAACCCACGCCGGCTGTGGAAAAGGCAGTGAGGAGGCAGGGGCCCCTCAAGTTGTTCAGCCCGCACAGCTGCGTGACCAATCGGTTCTGATCGTGAATCATGCCGCTGCACTGACTTCAAAACGACTGTAACGGACAACAGGGGACAGGAACAGCTTTGGTGGCACCTGGTTTGGAGCACCATCTTTCTTCAGCCATCGCCAGTACCTGTCAGAAATGGGAGGACTAGCTCTAAGACCTACAGGTGCGTTTGTCACAGACCCCTCAAGGCAACTGCAAGGCCCACTCGCACAAACACATGGTGTTAGTCATCGTCCGTAAATTCAACCATGAATCTCTTTGGGGATTTTTTGCCGTGGAGATCGCTCGGTACATGTTTCAAACCCCTAGGATTGTAGCATGACAAATGCAGCTAGCACTTGCTAGAACTGCACCAAACATGCAGCCTAATCATGTGCGTGTTCTGCACGCACATGATGACCCCTGACTCAACAGTAGGAACCCCACTCTTCTGGATCCGGAGTGACTAGGACCTGGTCTAGTCAACATCCTCTGCACAAGTGCACTCGGTCTGATCAGTGGTGGGCTGGAACTCGAACTGGGATTCCTCGTAAGCCTCAGCAATCGTGTGGACAGTCAGTGGGAGTTAGTTGGGAAAGATTTGCGATTCTATATATGTATACTTTTAATTCTCCATGCATAGAGGTGACCTGACCCTTGTGTGTTTAGTTGATGACAAGAAGCCTTCTTGCCCCGCGCTGTGGCTTCTTCGACGCCACACCCGTCTTTTGTAGCAGCAGCCTTTGCCCTCGCGTATGCACAGCATCGGAAACTTCTGAGCTTCTTCTTGTCCGTGCAATACGGACATAGGCTGCTGGAACCTTCACTCTTGCCTTTGTTGGCCTTGGCTTTGGCCTTGGCTTTGCCCTTCGCCGCAGGTTTCCTGGCTTTTGACCCAGCCACTTCCTTTGGCTTGGCCTCCGATCGCTTCCGCTTGGCAGCCTTTGGCCTTGCTTTGGTTGCTGACTTTGCTACCTTGGCCTTTCCTCGGCCCCTCTTGGCCTTTCCTCGGCCCCTCTTGGCCTTTCCTTGGCCCCTCTTGGCCTTTCCTCGGCCCCTCTTCTTCTTCTTTGAATTGCCTTCATCTTCTTCTGCCTCATCACCTTCAACCTCTCCCTCTGCATCCTCATCCTCCTCGTCCCCTTCTGGCACCCGCCCTGTCAATTTGACTTGAGCTTGGGGGGATACATACTTCGCTCTCTCAACAGCAGCAGGGCGAGCCTCTTCTTTCTCTTCTTTCTGTAGCTTGGCAGCTCTTGCATCAGATTCAGGGCCTTTTCCTAAACTTGCTTCATCCAACATGGCATCCAAGGACCGTTTGAGAGATCGGATCATGTGCACAGCTTCCTGATCCGAAGCGGCACTTGAAGCGGCGTTGGCTGACTCTTGGAACTGGCTGCACAGATGAGCCAACCTTCGGATACGACCAGTTCGGTCTCCTCCTGCCGCATCTGATGGAATGACCGCCTGAGGGGCCTGTTCTCTTGGATTTGGCTCTGCACGGTCAAGGGAGCTCTCTGAGGGCAGAGTTGCAGACTTGCCCTCAACCTCTTCAGACTCAGCATGAGCCACAACTGCATGCGCCTTGGTGGACTGGTCTTCCTGCTTGTTCATCCTTTGCTCCTCAACCTCCTGCATATCTTTGTGGGAATGATCTTCTTCTAGAGGGTGCCATGGCACTGTATCCATGTTGTCAGTGCAAATGGGAGGCCGAGGATCTTTCAAGCCGTGATTAAGGCCCACCTCTCCTGCACCACAGCTTTCAGAATTGGACTTCTGAAGCAATAGCTCCTCCAAGTGCGCCTCTTCCTCTTTAAGCGCTTGCAGCATCCTTAGCTGTGATTGAAGTCGCTCAGCTTCTTGAACCTGCAGTTGGATGGATTCAGCCTCACCCTCAACTGGAGACCGAACTTCCTCATTCTCCCCCCACCTCAGCCTTGAAGTTGTTTGGAATGCAGGGTTGGTCACGAAACCATGTAGGGTCAGGACTGGACAGCTTGCAGTCGCGACAAAAGGACCCACAGCGCTCGCTCTTGTAGAGGCAGTGCTTGGGCTGACTCCCATTGGGCAGACTCAAGTCTGGGTGGGCAATCACTTTTGGCGGTGGGGTGACTGGTGGAGAGTGTGATTCGTGCTGACTCTCCTGCACAGGTAGCTCCTGGGCGACCTGTGTCGGCTCTTCAAGACTTCCAGATCCTTCAGCCACTTCAGCCGGTGCTTCGGCTGCAGGAACTGAACTTGCCTTGGAAGGGAGAAAAGGCAATGCATTACACCATGCGTTACACCTGGACATGCCCAAACTATTATATATACGATCTAGCTGCATTATAATTTATTATAAGATGGTCAAAGCTAGGATTTCGTACGATAGGACATTGCGATGCCAACAGGGTGCAGTGTCAGTCGGATACTCATCCTCACTACTGTCGCAATCTGACTCGTCGACACCTTCTTCGCGGTCGGTCTCGCCGTGGTCATCACCTTACATGCAGTGCATGTAGCAGCCAGGGGTTTCAATGTCCCCCAAACACGGCTAGGATTAGGCCGGAACATATAGAAGTGGGATCGATGGTACCTACATCCTCCAAAAAATCTTTCTTCGCATACCAGTTACCTTCAGAAGGTTCAGGCTCTTTCCAATTAGCAATCCCTGCAGTGACAAAAAGGGTCCGCATTGCAGCCTCCCTTGGCCAGTGTGGCCGACGGGCTGCCTTGGCAAACTCTGAGATTAGCCGTCGGATTTTCCAAGCTTCCTTTCTGATTGCTCCACCTAGGCAGCCGAGGTGATCACAAGGGAATTGGTTTTGAAGTTGAAGTTAGGTCCACATCTAGTCCATGTCTCAAAGATCCACCAGACTACATCAACACACGAACTTCCTGAAACCTGAGGGCTGGCGTCCCCAACTCCCTAGGCGAATGACTAAAGCATACAAGCCACTGGTCACTTCAAGCTTTCCCCTAGGCCGCTTTTGCCACAAGAAGGTCCGGCACAATGAAGTGATGGATTCAATGTGGGGTTTCATGCCCATGTGGGCAATGATTGGGACCAGCAGCTCATAGTTCTCAACCACATCACTCCTGCCAATCTTCTTGTTGAGGATGTTTGGGAGTTTGCTGCAACTCATGGCTCGGTTCACAAGCGTGGGATTCTTATCCCACTCTTCCAGGACGTTTGGGTCAGCATCAAAGGTGCTCATGCCTAAAGGTTGACCAAAGCTTCGCACGGGATATCACGGGGTTCAAGCCAAATGCTACCGTGCAGGATGCACTTCAATCACTTCCAGCCCCAAAAAAACAGAGCGACTCCACAACTTCACACCCCCAAGCCCAACTCAGGGGCACCAATCAAGCCATCACATGGAACCTGCAACGGCCAGGTGCAAGCTCGGGGTGATTGTGTTCGACTGCTAGCATGCAGCTGCACACACAGCTACCAATGCCTGGAGGGGCAGCAACTGCTTGAAGACCCAATATCATTGGGCCCAAATAGCTCTCTCAGCGGGCGCTAGACCACACCAAACTGAAAAGTGCTCGATATTTCAGAAAGTGATCATTCAAGATCTTTTGTGAATTAATGATCGATTTCAGGATTCATGAGCAATACTCAATCGCACAAAAAAAAATATACTACGAACGAGGCTACAGGTAGATCTACGTAGAAGCTGTTCTTCAAGTAAACCATATAAAGGGAACCAATATTAAAACCAAAACCTTCGATAAATCTTTCGCGAATAAGATACTTTCGCGAACCTCATCGCGAAGCTTTCGCGGGGGGGTTGAACAACATCCAAAAGGCTGTTTTATATAAACCTCCTTACACGTGGTTTTCGATCAACTCCCATATTCTCCACAAGTCACACCTCCCCGAGAAAAGCGTCACTGTTCCCACTGAAAAGCCTCCCGAAATCAGCCATCCTCCACCCCAAGTCACTCCAAAACTCATGGGATCAGCCAGCCTCCCGGTCATCTCCAAAAAGCCGCCACCCCGGATCGCCAGGTGGCGCGCCCTGGGCATCGCTGAGCTCAGAGCGGCTTCCTAAGAAGGGCGTCCGACCGCCAGCAGCCACCAACAGCGCGGCCGAGTGCTCCGGAAGCCCCAAGATGCAACCCAACAACGCAGCACGACCTGGACGCAGGTGGGGAGGAGGTGTTCTGGGACTCCTGGGACTCCTGGAACCAGTTCGTTGCACGGCCTTTTAGGAGAGGAACTTATAAGAGTCGGAGTGGGTGTGCAGGTGGAAGGTGGAATATATGGGTCGAGGGTTGTGGTGTGAGTATTTGGTCAGGTTTTGGCTCCTTTTTTTTTGCGGAGGGTTGGAGAACATAGGGGAAAGACGAAAGAAGCTTTGGAAGGGATGAAGGCTGAGAGACTTGGTCAAACAGACCAACAGCCTCCACAGGGTGACCTGAAACCGGTGCCCCGGGTCTCCCAGTAGGCCGGGCCTGGATTCCTAGGGCAGTTGCAATACACGCGTCACTGGCACGACTGGCACGAAATAGCACGACTAGTTGCTGGGTCACAGCACAAGAATGGCATGTGTTGGAGAGATGATCAGAGATGAATTTCACACACGTCATTGATCTTAAGACTTCATGGTGCTTTTGGTGGTCTCACCAACGAGTGACACGAAATCCAGCACCCATCCAATTCAATCCAATTCAGTACTTTGAACTTCGCATCATGATGCATCATTAATATATTCCCACACTTAGCCAACCATTGGTCGACCTTCGCACGAGATGATCTCTTTGAGACAGGACTAAGGACTCTACACTGTATCGCACTTTGGGCACCCACGGCTAACAAGTACCAGGGACCCCCCCCTCGAGGGTTGTCGAACAAAAGAAGGTGCTCCAAGAACCAGGGAGGGTCCTGGTACCGGTTTGTGAAACCACGAGGTCATGATGCTCATGCTTCTTCCTGTCGAGGTCATAACGCTCCTGTCTGTCCCACCTAGAAGCGGCTCCAAGGGCAAGCGTGCCAGAACCTCGCCGATGGGCAGCAGCAAGGGACAAACCTCCGGGTCGGGATCCGAGTGGTCCTGCGAGCGAGGACACCTGCTGGTCCAACCAGGTTTCTGGATTCGGGGCGGGAAGCAGAAGCCCTGGTGTCTGGAATTCTGGAAGCGTCCTGCAGAATTCGGGGCGGGGCTTCAAGGCAAGGTTCCATGGAACAACTTGTCGATCATGAGGGAAGACACCGTAGAATGGATCAAGAGCAATGGCGCACCATGGTGCATCATCGTGTGCTCAACCTGTCAGTCAGCTATAGTTTCGAGAGCTCTCCCCCCCCCCCAAAAAAAAGATCTAAAACGCATTTCCAAGACACAAAGAAAGACCCAACAAACCATCCTCAACTACCACGCCTTCTCCCCTTTTTCCTCCCAACTCTTCACCCGTTTGAAACGTGTTAAGGGCGCTCCACGGCGTGGATCGCCACCAGCTGCTCCATGGCCATCTCCACCGCCGCCACGTCGGGGGGGTCGATGGCGTTGGCCAAGAAGCTCCGGGGATGCCGACCCAACGCCACCTTGCCGAGTCAGAACACCCGATTGGTCAAGGGGCGATCGAGGAAAAGCGCGACGACCTGGTCTTTGAAAAGGGTCTGGCGATAGATGATTTGATATGATGTGGATATGTGGTAGACCATGGCTGAAGAGGTGTCCAAAGTAGTCCAAAAGTTCTTCAGGCTTCTTCTCGCATGGCTGAAGAGGCGCCCCTACAAGGTCCAGGTGCTCGTCTTGAGTGATCGTCTTGACTCGGCCAAGACCGGATGAATCGGATGGCATATGCTTTGATAAATGTTTGCTCACCAAGCAGTAGCTGATCATGAGGTTGATATCATTGTGTCGAGGTGTGTGAGTGGATTGAGCTTTGGTAGTGGATTTCTCCAGTTGATGGAAGAAGAGTTCATGTCCTTCATTGTTTTTTTCACACAAAGATTTCAAACAAGAATAACTACATGCAGAAAAACATCAAAGAAACAACCACAGTAATTAGTAGATGTATATAATTAGTTATGAAGAGTGATCTGTTCATATCTGTTCCCTACTGTGAATTCCGCATGGTTCCGGTCTCTTTCTGCTTGGAGTTGGTTCGTCGCATTGTTTTGGGGGGCTTGTGGGGCAAACTATTAGAATCACTGAAACCACGCCAATGTATATATATATATATATGGTATAATTATATAAATATGCCAGTCCCATGGCTCATGGAGTGTATGGATCTGCTTTGCCGTTCCACACCAAGGCACAGTTTGTAGGCAGCTCTGTGCCAGATCACAGCGCTGCATCTCCGGCGACGGCTGCAAGGGCAAGGCGTCGAACTGCTCTCGGCTGTACAAGCCTCGATCGCGGGTTCTTCGTCGATCGCTGGGAAGAAAGGGGCGGAGGACGTCACGGTGGCTCCGCTTCTTGTGGGTTTAGGTGGTGGAAGAGGCGCTCCAAAAACATGGACGCTCCCTGAAAGTCAATATAGATAGAGTTCAGCCTCAATGTCAAACAAAACATGGAGCTGCAACGTCAGTTTGTAAAGTACCCCATTCTTCACTGTCACACTGTCCTACCTGCAGTTTCTGAGGGTGGGCTTTTGACCACCGTTGGTGCAACCTTCCATTGCTTGTTTGGAGGGTTTCGTGGTAACTGCTGAGTGGATCCTGTGGAACCCTACAGCAACTGTCCGACCTTCCGTGCCCAGGGGCGCAGCACGCGGCCGGCGCGCACGCGCCCGGCACGGCCCCGGCGCTGCACGGCACCGCTCTGCGAGACCCAGACTGTGTCCAGCGAGGAGATGCGGCGCTTGGGGTCGTAAGTGAGCTCTCGTTGCCTAACGACCATTTGAGTGTGCATAGCAGTGAGTGTTGGCAACGCCTATATCTCCGCACCCTCTGCAGGTCTCCTCTAGTGGCTTTTGAAGACTTAAAAGGTGGCAGGTGGTGACCTATTGGAAGGTGCTGGTATGGTTACCGTTGTATAAAGCATCATGGAACTCTGGTAGAGGAGGCATGCACACTTGCCATCCCTGAAATTACATACATTGTGGCATTGTCGTCTCGTCTCTTTCAGTTCCCCACAACGTCATTTTGATCAATCCAAGTCCATCCATCCCCCCCAGACACTCCATGTCACTCCATGTATGTCATATTTGCCTATGATTGAGATGGTTTCAGGGGTGAATGTAGCCATATATGCCAGTCCCATGGAGTGTCTGGGTCCTGCTCTACTTCGCGTCGACGGTGGGATTTGATGGACCAAGTCTCCACTCAAGCGAAGCCAAAGAGGTACACTGTACACTGAAAATAACGTTTTTTGTATGCTCCCTCATGTATCTTGGGACAATTCTACACCAAATGTATGTATAGCGGGTAGAATCAAATTCATCAACGCTTCTAGATTCTAGATCTTCTAGATATCTCTTGGGAATCTCAAGAAAACAACGGCCCTGGTCTGCGCTCAAGCGGCGTACTTCATGCTAGCCCCTGGTTACTAATCTACGTCGCCTACATTGCTCATGAATTGTCTGAACTGAGAGAAGAGCCGCTCATTAGCACAGTGAACAAGTTGTAAATCCAGTGGCCTTCTGTAACTTTGCGCACAACTAGAGCAGCTGGACATGATTCTGGTCAAAACTTTCCTTCTTGTCGAAGCTGCCAAGCGCAAAACAGCTCCTATATATAAGTTTACAAAGTCCTTTATGTCCCGTTCCACCAAGGGAGGTCGCTGTGAGATCCCCCAGCGACTTTGATCCAAGCTTCAAGCCCGAGTCAATGACCACCTCCACATCACCTCGTCTTCTTGGAACTGGTGTTGCAAATCGTCTTTTCTCTACAAATCTTCCAAAACGGGTTGATCGATGATCAAACAAATGATGACCTTAGACTCCCCACGAAGTACTGCTCAAGCCAACCTCGCAACAAAACAAGCAGGAACCCTGACTGCCGACTTCCAGGGGCTCTCCCTCACAGCTTTCATGATCATGGACCCAACGGAGAACGAAGCACCTTCACCTGAAGCACCTTTCAATCCACCTGAAAAGCATGCGTAAAGAGTAAAGCAGCACTGAAAACGAACATGGTGACCTGCCTCGACAAACGGTCACCTGCCTGGACCCTCCCAGATGTTTGTGTCTCTAAAAACCCAGATGTTTGGGAAAACAAACACTCCATGAATCTCGGTTCTATTTAGTTCTTCAATGTTCACAATGTCTTCACATGGTGTTCACCGGATGTCTATCTTCCGCAGAACTGATCAGAACACCGGACCTGCCACAAAGAACAAAAAGACCATCCAACTTCGGCCCCAGGTGCCAATCGTCACTGAGCTCTCCGCGATGTTCGTCCCCAGAATGACCTTGACCTTCCCCCGTGGCGGTCGCCTAGGGTGCCAATGTGCAGAGGCGGCCGAACATCGGCGGTGCAAGCCATGCGTGGCGTTTCTGCCCTGCAGCGAGGTTAACGGGAAAATCGCCATGCGAAGTGGCTTGGGTTGGGATGCTGGTCCATTCATCTCAAGTCCATGGTTTTTGCACTGTCTTGATCGGAAGGAAGATCTTGGAAAACCTGCGGGCGGAGCCCGAAAGATCCGTCGATCTTTTGGGCTCAAAACCCGTGCATCTGATCATCCGAGAGGTCAAGATCCGTGAATGAACCATCTGCCCAGGAAGTTGGTGTTCTGGAAATGGTCACTGCTAACTTCCAGCTCCCGACCCTCACTTCGCACCTGAAGACTTGCTGTTGCCGCTCTTTCGGCAAGGTGGAGTGCAGCGGCACAGCCCAAATGGCCGAAGCCCTTGAGCCCTCTGCCAGCCGCTCCTTGCAGTTTCGAAAGGTGGGATCAAATTTCAAGAAGATTCCATGTTTTTTTTCCATGGTTTCAGAAGCCAAACCAACCGAAGATTCCATGTATACCATGTCTGTACACCATCTCTCTCTCTCTCTATACTGTATATATACTGTGTATATATATATATTACATCATTATTGATATAAATTTAAACATATGTGTGTGTATATATATATATATAGTAATATTTATTCATAAATGTATATATATACATTTAGCTGTCAAAGTGTCGAGCTCCCCCATTGAAAACGAGAGGAATCTGTTGAGGAATCTGAGCGGCCTACGGGTGTGTGTAATGGTGTGTGGCGAAACCTCTATAAGTACAACTGCATTGTTCTGGCATCTATAGCTCAACAGCCCACAACCAAAGTTCCGCAACTTGTTTCCAGTGGATTACAACATGATCCTCTCGGGAACCGGACTCTGGCTTTCAGGCACCAAAGGAATATCAGTTTGAAGACTCGATACTAGCGACTATTATATGTATAACGTGCTGTGGAAACAAAGGCAAACACCTCCACAAAGACCGCAGCTTGTTGATGAGATGGTCAGCTTACTTACCACTTGAGATCACTTGCAGTAAGGGATCCAGTCCTCCACAAACTCTAGAAATAGATCGAACAATGAATCCATGAATATTCTCAAAACTGTTGTGTTTCCATTGAAAAAAGGCTGGGTGCCAGCATGTGCCAGCAACATCTGTCACTGAAATCTATTAGGACCCACAAGGGTCCTAAATAAAAGGGCCACAAACACCCGAACTGTACCTTCCAGTATTCCAAGCAGTACTTCCACGCAGTACTTCCACGCCCCCGGCGTCCACGAGTGGTGAGCCTCGATCTGTCGAATCTCATTCCAGCCAGGAAGAAAGCACAGAACGGATCCTCCCAGCCAGCGACGACTGGTCGAAGTCGACCGCTTCGACCAGTGATGCGCACTCTGAGCAGACCAGTTTCAACCGATGAGAGGCGCTCTGAGCTACATCTTAGGTGATTTTGTTGTTGAAAGGAACAGGCGCCTGGCAAATTCCATCAAATTCCAAACGGTTTGGGCCCCACAGGGCGATCGAAATACCAAAGCAAACATCTCTCTGTGAGCCTTTTCCTTGGAACAGTTGAAGACCATGAAGCCACAAGAAACCAGGAGCTGAGCGTCAACCCCTTTTACTCTCAGCCCTCGATACCGATACCCAATTAATCCAAACATCAATGGTGTTCAGAAAAGCCAAAATGTTTGGTTTCTTGACTTTATTGCCATCCCCTCTGGTATGCTTGGTTCAATGGCATCGTCCTCGCGCTCTTCACACTCAGTGTAAATTCACTCTCAGAACCACTGTCGATCCCCACCAAGCCCAATTGCCTCATTCCTGGAAGGGCTTATTTCATCTTATTTCACTATGTCTATTATAGTTGTTATACTCAATCTGGATGGAATATGTATATTCTGTCCTACGTTGACCCCTCCGTAAGTAGTCCCAGGTAGACATAGTGGTATAAACATGTATGCATGTCCGGTGCATGTACCTCCCGCTCTGTGTTGTTTCTCGTTCGCTTCCCCGTCTCGTCACCGGCGTCACCGGCGTCACCGGCTCCTCGGTCTTGGTCCGGCCGTCGGCTGAGCTCGTCCACGATGGAGCCGATGGCCGAGTCCATCATGTCCAAGCACTTCTCCATCTCAGGCCCCTCCCCCCTCACCTAGGAACAAGGGCATCGACTAGTAGCTCCTGGCACTACTAGTAACAAGAAGCTACTAATTATAGCTAGAAGCTATTAGGTTGGAGGCCCTCGCTAGTAGGTTGGAGACCCTCGCCAGTTTGCGAGACCCGGGACAGGGACGCTGCAGAGTTGGAGTTGGTGGCTGGGAGGGGAGACACCCAAATGTCGGATGGTTCTTTCTGGGAGCTCAGTGAATCACATCCGTTTTCAAGTCTTCGGAATCATCGCCAGTGTCCCGGGCCAACCACTGCATTTAGGGCCAGGTCCAAAGGTTCCAACGTGTTCCAACAGTCTAATTCGTCCGACTGGAGCTATCAATTCAATTGTTGGGCGCGGCAACATGGGAGAGGTTGAGATTCCTGGAATCACTGAACTACTGACTGAGAAATAAGATCGACCAGGATTGCTTTGATTCTAGAAACTACATACTTTAGAGTTTGGTTTTTAATAGAATGTTGTAGCATGCTTGAAGCTCCAAACCAAACTGGTAGAACTATGTAGAACATTGTAGAACTATCCCTCCAAAGCTGTCGTTCAAAAGAACATTGGAGTGGCCCACAAGGAGCACCACTCCACACTCCTGCATGGATCAGGAAGTGTAAACATCATAGTGGGAATGTCCATTCTCCAAAAATGTGAGCACACCTCGGAAAGGGATGTGAGGCTTTTGACTTGATTTATGTTATGTGTGATTATGTATATATGTATATTAATCTATTTATGTGGCTGTATTCTGTTGAGAAACACACAAGGCAATGCGCCTCCATTCACTACTGCATGCTGAGCATGCTGTGTCTGAAAAAAAAGGACTGACACGTTGACATCGCAGTCTCTTCCATACTTTCTGTGTTGTTCTATTGAATCTCTTCATAGGTGTATGGAGAGCTGCTGATCGATGTTCTTACACACTCCTGCATTGCGGCTGCATCCTCAAGAAGGTAAGTGCCTGCTGAGTCTGTAGCATCTGCTACTGGAGATAGCCATAGGCCAAACACTCCATGTATGCCAACATTGGGGTGGTTTTAGGGTCAATGTGTGTAAATATGCAAGTCCCAGTGTCTGGGATAGATTCATGCCTAAGTCAGAAAGATCTGTCTTCGACCAGAAAGTGGTGCCGATGGAGCCCTCGCCACCTCCAGTGGCCAGTATCGAGCCGAGGAGCCGTCTTCATTCGCCTGCCTCGATTGCTTCTCGGCATTCAGAAGCGCATTGGTGAAGGCGAAGTCGCTGAAAAAGGCATCCTCCAAGTGGATCTCCTCCACGGGGAAGAGCGATTCCGACTGCACTTCCAAAGCCGGGCAGTGAAAGTATTCGGAGAAGGCGGTCCTTGGCTTCAACGGAAGGTCGGTGCGCCGGACATTTTGAGACGGGACAGTGAACCTGAATCCTCTGAAAATACTTTTTTTTGCTTCAGGTATGGTCTACATTTAGTCCAGCTAGCTCATCATACATGTTTGGGCACAGATCCTAAATGTCCACATTGATCTCCCTTCAGCTGCTGGAGCATCAAAAAGCAAACACGAATCATCCAGACCAACCAGCCAAGGCTCACATCCAGTGTAGCACTCATGAGAATCAGTCGCAAGTCCGGTCTCATGGGCAGCAGTTCCCGCAGCAAAATCAGAAGAAAGTCCTGAGATCAATCATTCTCAGGAAGCCATGGTTTTCACCCCCAAAACCAGGGATCTCCTGTAGATGTTTCCTTAAACCAATTCTGGGATGAACACGAAGGACCCCCCAGCAGGCCAAAATCACTGGAATGCCATGCGAAAACACCGAGAAGAAGCGGTTTCGGAGACCTGTTTACAGGCCAGGTGGTCAAAAGAGCATATTTCAATGTATTTCACGAGGACAAAAGGAACCGGGGAACTGATTGCTACTAGCCACCGATCAATTGGTAATTAACAATATATATATAGGTTCTACAGCAAACGATTGAGGAAACACAACTACTTTGACGCTCTCGCACTGAATGGTGCAGTATCTTTCCGTCTCACTTCTCATCGAAGTTAGAACAAATCCATACAAACAGCCTTGTTACCTGAACTGGAAGGAACACATACAGCAGGGGATACTCAAACACATTCAATAAACCAAAGAAAAAGAAAAAGCACCAACTTCAAAAACAACCAACACACTGCACACACACACGAGAACACGGAACAGCACCATGAGAATCTGTGAGGGATCTGGTCCGTTGTGGTGCTGACTGATGTTGTCCTTCAATCTGAATCCATGTCCGTCTGATGTTCCCGACCCTCTCAGCTTCCAAACCCACACCATTCATCATCCATGTATGGAATAACTACATATGTTTATCACCCGGTATCACCCCGCCGAGTAAGTGGCATGTATTTGTTCCATATATATACATATATATTTGTTTTTTTTGGATGGTCTGGACAATGCCGTGGGTTTCAGGGTATAATATGGCACATGATGGCACTAATACCCAACCAAGATGTCTTGAAAAAAATGGTTGGTCCATGAGTCAACCACCAAAGCTTGGGGTAACTG